ATGAGCTCTCAAGGAAGACAAAGAGCAAAGGGTACCTTTGTGGCGATCCATCAAAAACATTAAAATAAGCTTGGAAATCATGCGATTTTTGTGTGTCTTTTGTGGCCCTCGGTTCGAGTTACTTACCTTGCATTCATCGTTCAGCAGGGACAGTATACCCATGGGTCCTTCAATAAGATCGATGCAGGGTTGATTGTCGTAGAAGTCCACGAAATCCCATTCAAGGCCCTCTCGCAAGTATTCTTCCTGTTCAAGCTTGAATACGTGCTAAAAGAGGCAAGAATATGAGACGAGAGAATAAATACCACCGGCACATGTTTAAAAGGATTAAAAAAATTTCTGTGCATATAATAAATGCTATTTATATGGCCCGTAGGGTATTTTGGTTGGTTAATTTCACATACCTCTGAAGCTGTTTAGTACTGTGGCGGACAGTTAAATTGCTGACCAACTTCCTTGTTCAACGTTCACTGCCTCAAGGTCACGCAACTTCGCAGGGAGCCCATTCCGACTCGCTGACCTACAGACCCTTGTCCGACTTCATCGCGCGCACATGCTAGGATGGCTAAGCATGTGAGCCACCACCCTTGTCATCCAGACAAACAGACAGACATACATCCTGAGGTCACGCCGGACAAAGGCACGCGAACAGAGGTAAGTGCAGTCACAAAGAGCTGTGACCACAGGTAAAAACGCCGCCAAATTATGCATGTCCTTGAGAGGTCAACCAGCATCCGATGGCTACCCAGATGGACCAATAAGAAGAAACAAAGCGGGCACAGACCAAGAGGCAGGACTTGCTGCAGACGAGAACGCCGTGACGCAACTTGCTGGAGAACACGGGACAAGTCAACTGACACATGCAGAGTTGATTTTTACGCAGGAATTGTTGCAGTAAACTATTATCGGTTATCCTCTCTGCCTTCTCTTCCTAACACGTACCTGGGGGACATAACCGGTGTTGACACAGGATCACACAAGGTTATGACACACCTATGCGCGCCCAAATAGTCGCGGCTGCCTAAGGGCCACTTGAACACACCACCCCTCGGCTGAGGCATCAGAGGCCATTATACAAGACATACCGTCGGATAATGTAACGTATTAATCGCTCCAAAATCACACGATTCAGCCGCCACCAACTGGCTCATGCAGTCTCTCAGACCTGGCTGTATGCAGTCAAAACTAGCCCTGGCTTGGCTAGTGGTCAGTGCCGCCCGAGATGAGAGCATCTGAGAATTCTGTGCACAGTAAATCCTCTCACAGATAGTTTTAGCCTTTTGCCCACAAAGTTGGATTATAGAGCCCTAAGCACAACCACTACTTAGACGCTACTGTACTCAACATGACCCAAACATTAATGTGTGAGACCACACCTCGACTACAGTATGCCGGTCTAGACACCATGGTTGAAGAAAAATGTGGACCTTCTCGAACAAGTGCAACGTAGGGCGTCGAAGATGGTCGACGGTCACAGGGACTTATCATACCAGGAGAGATTGATAAAGCTTGACCCTTACAGTGAAGTCTGCTCTGGACATTTCGGATAATCCGGGGCAATGGTTCCTCCCTGAGACTAGAGGACTTCTTCACGTTAGCCAACACAACTCACCTGTGTGGCCATCCTTAGAAGGTGACAAACAAGCGCACTCGATTAGACCTCAGAAATTTTTTCTTCAACCAACGAGTGGTGCGACCTTGGAACTCACCACCAAACGAGACAATCTCCGCCGACACCGGATTTTGAAGGAAGACGTGATTACATAATATTTGACAAGAGACGAATATTACAATATGAAGTCTTACTGCCAGTCTTGTAAACATTTTCCTGTCTCTAGCTTGTTTTCATACTATTTCACAATGTCCCGCGACAACTCACTTAAATCTGTGACCCTATCTGCACATGTTTCGGACTGTTCTTCTATTACCTATGATTAAAGATTCCCGAGGGAATCCGAAACGT